TGTGTGTGTGTGCTGTGACCTCTAGCTGTATGCAGTATGGATTATGAGAAGTCTACTCTCTGACCCAGTTTACTGATACACACTCTAACATCATGATAAACTGTTGTTCACCGACTGCAAGAACCAGGACGTACAAGATGCACCTACATCACAATCAACTTTTTCTTTTTTTCTTTTTCTTTTTTTTTTTAGATGCAGACAAAATCTACTGAAACTGAAGGGAAAATACTGGGAATAATACATCAAATGTTTATTGTCTTAAACCTCACTGTGAAAAGAAAATCCTATTAATAAATTAAATTTCATTGTTGTTTTATTGTAGTTTTTCTTTCATTTGTATTTGTAATTTTCATGTTCAAATGAATGCTGCCTGCATAAAAGTTAACAGGATTAATCTCCCCATCCAAATACAGGGGAGACTAGTGTAAATTGTCTATTTTTTTTTATTATTCTAGTGAATATTTTGACTATGATATAGATCTCATGACAACCAGCCTCAGTCTCCCATATATGTAAATCAAAGAGACACAATTATCCCCATACACTCACTGAAAACAATAAAAAGGAATGCCACAAACTGCAAACTCTCTGCTCTGAGACATAGACCTCTCAGCAAAGGCCAGACGTCACAAAGTGCATTACTGGTGTTTTTGAAACTATGAGTAAGTGAACCAAATTGATGTCCTCAGGTGGTTTAATATTTAAATACTTGCACGTAATGTATTAGTGCTGTATCCAGTCAGTCTTTTATTGTGCCAATCACTATAGTTTTTTTTTGTTTTTGTCAGTATTTGCATTTACACACGTGAGCTGGAGGGTCTGCATTAAAGGCCATGCAGTAAGCATCTGTCTGTAAACCCAGCAGAGCGCTCTACCAACACACGGCATCTGCTTTAGCTCTGCACAGATTTGCAATGTGTTTGCGGGCCCACATGTCACAGAGGATGCCGTTGCCTGGTGTACGCAAACTGGTATTTAAAGTATGTTTTCGCAAGTAGCAGATGTAAATCACACAACAGAATTCTTCAAAACAATGAACTGGTTTCTGGGTTCCTGGTGGCAAGAGAGGTGCTTTTCCTTCGGTTCAGTTCCATGATGCAGCTACCTCTGCCTGACCTCCTTACTGTGGTTTCTATGAGTTACTGAAATCATCTATGAAGTAATGTGTCCTGCACTGCTTAATGACTGTGTTTTAGGGCGTCTATCCCATCAGCCCCTCAGTACAAAGACTGGACAGATCTGTCCAAGTGGAGCACTGCATTATAATTTAGTTCCTCTTAGGTTTCCTGCTCTAGCACTTTAAGACAAAGTGCCTGCAGCCTCTGAGCTCTCCACGTGCAGACGGAGCGTGCTATTTCCATCCTTTTCCGTCTGCTTTTGCATTATCTGCAGTGCTGAGCAGAAGCCAGAGAGCAGATTGACAGACCAAGAGCATGTACGCTACCGCCGCCATCTCCGTCTCTTATTCAGCACAGATAAAGAAGCAGTGAAATGCGCCGTGATTCGTCTCTATTTAAACGCGCGGAGTGAAAATACCTCGACGCCGCTCACGACATCGCTCCCATGCTTTTTCTCTTTGTGCAGAGATTAGGCCGTTGCCAACCTAAATGATTACTTCAGTCAACACGGTACACGCTTGTGACACCGCGGAGCGTCCCTCTAACTGATCTGCTAAATGTCAGCAAACTGCTTTTGAGTGTAATCTTAATTTGACTTGGAATTAGTCTTTTTGCTGTGAAAATCTAATTATTCAGACAAATCTTTGCCTTGTGAGAACTTTAGCAAAAGATCAGCCATCCCATGGCTGATAAGAGAAAGAGAATGAGAGAGCAAGAGAAGCAGAGAGAGAGAGAGAAAGAGAGATTACGCGATAGTGAGCGTTCCCAGACGTTGCCCAGAGGCGCCTTCATCTCCTCTCTGAGCTAAACGGACATGAATGGTGAATGACAGAATTCCGGAAAGAACATTACAGTAAGGCACAATGAACGTGTGCATGAACGGCATACCTGTTGTCTGGGAAATAGTGAGATAGAACGGAATGGGATTGACTTTTTACACACTCTGGATATATAGGTGTTAGATGAATGTGGGCATGAATGTTCACTTTACAATGTAATTCCATTTAGATGGATGTATGAAAATTAGTACACATTACTGTACAGTATATAATATTGTACAACAGTGAAATTGTAAGGCTGATTAATCTTACTTCATAGACAGTTACGACACACATCTGGACTGTTTTGGCTCTGATTTCAGGTAAAATGTTTCGGAATTAACTGCTATCCGAAGCCTTAGAAGAAAGTCCCAGGTGACAATGCAAAATACAGGTTCACAAGCTCATGGTGACATATTCTGGGTTTTACGCTGATTTATGATCTAAATATTGTTATTTTATGTTTGCCTGGGTTTCAGTAATGTTTGTAATGTCCCTGTGCCTTTTATGCTTACTGTGTATTTTTTAAAAAAATCACAAAATCTAAATTGGGATTGTATGCCATTCTGTGTGACCATTAACATCCTGCAGGAGTTTGAAATGAATGAATTCCAAATGAAATGTTAATGATGTTAACGTAAATGATCAGATGATCAGGCCGGCAGATTATAGATTATAACTTAAAAAAGAATGTATGCATTTGTTTGTATGTTTTTTTATTTTGGTTTTAAACACACAGGTCCTCCCTCACGCACGCTCACACCAGACAGGTAAAACAATTATGCGCCCGCTTGAATGTTTCAAATCCGCACTGCTTTAAATAATTTAGAGAATGGTAGCTTTCTGTATAATAAAGCTCATTATGATCTGGTGTGGTCGACAGCCTGAGAAACCTTCTAATGGTGCTGAATGGCACCTAACCAGAGTTTAACAAAAAAATAAGAAAATATTACGTAGTATGCTATAATATAAACAGTATTTGCATTTGCATTCGTTACTTTCAAGTCGTTTTATTATTTCTTAGCACAATCTAAAATAGTAACGCCAAATATAGATCAATCTTCTGTAATTGATAACTTAATAGCAAAATATAATTTACTACACATTCATGTTCATAACATTCATAACATGTTTGGCTTCGTTATTTTCAGATACATTTAAATGACTGTTGTTTTTAAATGCGCTATATCATTGGCTTACTGATATTTTCTTCTCCAACATTTAATTACGAATGCAAGCACATAAGCATGTTTCATTTCTGTATCCTGAATTAAAGTTTAAAAATATAAATCGGAGTCAAAAATGTAGAAAATAATGTACTTCAATGAAACAGCATAAAGCTGTGTTTTGATTACTCTAATTGAAAATCAGTAATGCGGAATTCCATATTCTACACAGTGAATTTAGTTGCATTATTATTACATTATTGCATTTTCATCCATCGCTCTCATTTTACCCATTTACTGTAAAGGATTTATAGTTTTTAGACACCTGTAGTTATCACACGTTCAACAAATTAAATTCTGTCTTCGAAAACAATTGTATACTTTTGAATAACGAATACTTTAGAGTACAGAACTCTTTTGAATAAATGGGAACAAATTTAACGTTTTAAAATAAATGTTTTATTTTTTGATTCTGGGGAAAACTTTCAAAATGATCCCATATATACTGAGAATAGAAATCGTTGAAGACTATGTTTCTAATATTTTACTTTGTCTATTCTTACTATAATGAGAAAAACCATCAAACAACCTGAAGAAAGAGATATATAAGAAATTTCCCCCGAAATCCTTCGTTTGCATGCTATCTACAGTTTAAATGTTATATTCAGTGTTTCTTAAAAAAAAAAAAAATCTTAACCATTCACGTGAGATAGAAAAAAAATTTAATTAATTAATTAAGAATA